TGCAGGGGGTCGGACTCGATGATCTATTGAGGTCCCTTCCGACCCTAACATCTATGAATCTATGCATCTATGAATCTACTCATCGACCAGCTGGAGGACTCCCTGCTTCTTGACCAGCTGCCGGGGGTACACCAACCAAAAAAGGTTGAAAACCCCTGACCTAGGAAGTTGCTTGCATGTTCAGGCCTAAAATGCAGTAGTGTAACTAATAGTAAGGGTAGTAAAGAAGGGTAAAGGTATCACCCCATAGGCAACTCCTTGCCACAAGTGGCCACAATGTGTTTCAGGTAGAGGTAGTTTACCCATGTCAGAAAAGTCATGTTGGCAATCTGGCAAGTAGTACGTGTAACCACCATATTGGAATCCAAGATGGCTGCTGTGAATTCATGTTTTGGTTAACATTTCAGGCCCCGGTAGGGTTAGAAAATGAATTCCAATGATAAAACCAACATTATGTGAAGATCAATCGTAAGATTTCCATAGTGGTAGCCTTATTGGATTCCAAGATGGCTGCTGTGAATTTACAGTTTTGTTCATTATTAGATACTCAAAAGGTTTGCAAAACTGCTACTTCAACTCTGTTCTGTTTCAGATTACCTCAACATGAAAACCTCCGATGGAGACTGTCTACAAGAGACTTGCCCTTTTTGCCCTTTAGCAAATGTTACAATGGAGCCAGTAGCATCATTGAGTCCAGCAAAGAGTGTGTGGTACAACTGGGAATCTACAAGATGCATCGTATGTCTCTAAGTAGGTTTGCAGTCAATGATTAGCCAAAGTACACCTGCTGGAATTGCATGAATAAACAAGGCACTCATTCAGTGTAGGACAGTTGCTGAATTCAACACACTGCTCTTGGCAGTATTCTTGGCAGATTATCACACTGTGTTGGTCCTGCACTGCAGCATTGCAGAAAGTGTCATTTGGCCCGTTCTTGCTACAGTTCTTTTACACACAAAGGACATATTGCGAGACTTAAGATAGACACTCAAGGTAGAATATGAAAGGGAACCCCTACCAACAACCCTACTAACAAGGGATCCCAGTGTGTTCTTCACTTGATGTTGTTGGTAGGGTTTCCCTTTCATATTCTACCTTGTGTGACTTTCCTAATTATTTGGTACCTGAAGACCACATAGGCTGTTTTGGTCAACTGCTGCAGGCCAGGTTAGCACCCTCCCCTCCCAACACGCATGTAACTACTCACCAAAACTTCCTATGTGGTGGGATGGGGCCCCAGGTAGAGGTGTTCAGGAGTGGGATTGGAGGCAAGGCTAGGATCACAGGGCAGGGGCATGGGGTGGTGACAGTGTGGGGCTGGGGCCAAGTCAGAGCCACAATATGCTGCCCACATGCCCCTGTGATAGGCTCAGGTTCCATGGTCAGGGGAGGAGGCAGGGAGAAGATCACAGCTCTGTCCCCACCTGGCCCCATGCTGTCACTGCCCAATGATCTTGGCCCCAGCCCTGGATGCAACTCCCCACCCATCCATGCACCCTGCCTGCATGGATCCCAGCTGCTGCATCTGGGGCTGGAGCCAAGATCTTGGGGCAGTGACAGTGCAGGGCCAGGACAGAGCTGGAAGCCACTGCTGGGCCTCACTGGGGAGCCACAAAACCCATGAGGGGGAGAGGAGGGCTGTAAGCCCCAGAGAGATGGCTCAGGAGGCTAAGGAGGAGAGGCAGGAGCAGGGGACAACCATGTATCACTGCCAAGTCCACCAAGTCGGGGGAACTTAACCTCTTTCCCCCTCTCCTCATCTGTCCTCTCCCCCAGCCTGGGGTACACAGCTCACAGGCAGGGGACACCGAGTGTGAACCCAGCAATGACTTTACACCCCACCATGCACTTGAAGTGGCCAGGACTGGGCTGGGGCCAGGGCAGGCAGGTGTTGCTGGGGCATTCCCATCCTGTGCCAGTCTGCAGCTTGCCCCAGGCTGCCTGCATGGTGGCAGCAGCTCCCAGACCCATCAGCTCACTGTGGGGTATAGTGGCATGGAGCAGAGAGGTGCTGGGGTAGTGGTAGTAGCAGTGGGAGCCCTGGTGAGGGTGCTGCATCCAGCCCTGGATGCAGCTCCCTGTCTGACCATGCACAGTCTTCATGGAGACCAGCCTCTGGCCCTGGATGCAGTTCCTCACCTGGCCACATGTAGTCTCCATGGAGACTGGCCCTGGACCCAGCCCTAGATGCAGCACCCTCACCAGGGCTCCTACCACTGCCACTGCTCCTGTACCACTCTGCTCCATGCTGCTACATCCCACACCAAGTCAGCAGGTTTTGCTGCTGCTGCTGCGTGGGCATCCTGGGGCAAGCTGCAGGCTGGCACGAGATGGGGGTGCCTCAGCACCACCCAGTGGGGCAAAATCACTCCATGGGCCAGATCTGTACTAGGACATCAAGCAGATCATCTACTCGGGCAGTTCACTGAAGGATGTGCATATTCTGCCAGAAGCATTCTAATAAGAAGAGACTGGGGTCAAGTACTGTTTGAATCAGCCAGTGCAATACACAAGCTGACAGAGAAGAATAAAGTGTTGCACTGCCAAATTGGCATCAAAGATCGAATAGCTGCTGAGGCATGTTACCATCCTGAATGCAGGTGGGAAGAACAATTGAAGCAACAAGTCTCTCATTCTCATTTGCATGTGGAGATTGCTCAAGAAGAAGTGAGAGCATGGCATATAAAGTGATGGATGAACGAGATGCCAGTGATGAACTAGAAGACAACTAATCTCGCATCTGTAAACATTTAAATCAACCAGGCAATAGAGCATGTTAACAAAGTTTGCAAAATTGCTGGAGGCATAGTAAACATTACATACAACGAATCAGTTAGACAACTTTGGGAGCTGAACTTCAATAAAAGAAGTTACCTAACTGGGATGGCGAATCAAGTGTTTGGGAACAATACAACAACAATCATAATCAAAGACAAAGGACATAACTGAAATGAGATTACAACAAAGTCAAGTTGCTACAAGAGCAGTTTGAAAGGTTCCTCTTGCTTAAGGTTTCCAACAATGAGCTGTTATGTATTTCTATGGGAGATGTTGTGTTGGAAGATATTGCATTAAACCGTAGAGGGGCACTGAGTTGTGCCTGCTCTTTTAAGGGCACAAGCAGCCTGTAAGGCCACTT